GTAGAGGGCAGTGTCACTGGCCCTCATATGTGGGATCTGAACCGGGGCCCTCTGGCATCCCAAGCCAGCTCTTAACCAACGCGCCACTCGGCTGGCCCTCCTTGTCTTGTTTCTGATCTTAGGAGTGAAAGCCTGTGATCTTGGACAGTAAGTATATGTTAGCTGAATGTTTTTCAGAGGTGGCCTTTTGGGGATTGAGAAAGTTCCCTTCTATTCTGAGTGTGTTGAGTGTTTTTATTATGAAAGGGTGTTCGATGCTTTTTCTACATCTCTTGAGATGATCATAGGATATCTTTTTGTTCCTAAAGTCTAGCCACTATTGATGCTCTTTCTCCATTAGTGCTGCTTGTCATATGGTAGGCCTTTTCACTCTTAAAACTTATCTTTTTACCTCAGGGAAATTTTATTTTACTGTTCTTTCCCTCTGGAAAGTCTACTAGAGAGATAGTTTTGGAGTCTCTGTGGCTGCTCATATTTCTTAACTTTTCTTTCATGATCTTTTTGACTCATTGTTTTATCCAGTATTTCCTAATTATGTCTGTGATGGGTTGTACCAGGTTGGTAGGTGCAATCTTGCTTTTAAAAGGACTTTTAGGAGTATAATGATTATATATTCCTGAATAGTTGAATCATATTAGTTTAAAAATGCCTTAGAAGAGCTCGCTCAAGAGCTTGAGCTCTGAGCAACAGCAGTTCGAGTCCAGCCCAAGCTGAGCAGCCGCTGAGCTGCCAACAGGTAGCAGGATGGCTCAGCTAAAAAAAAAAATAAATAAATAAAATTAAAAAAAAATGCCTTAGAATACTCTATCAATTGCATGTAAAAGTCACAGTCAGCAAGTGATAATATTGGAAATCAACTTGGGTTTTTGGACCAGTGTGTTTATGGATAATGTTTGCAAATTTAAGAGACCACAGTAGTCCCTCCCTATCCGTGGAGGATACATTCGGGACCCCCAGTGGATGTCAAAAGCGACAGATAGTACCAATACTATGTTTTTTCTTATATATACATACCTTTTCACATAAAGGAGGCACTTTATGGCTTCTCTTTGGCATATCTGAATTGCAGTCATCACTATTTGTGCTCTTTGGGGCCATTATTAGGTAAAATAAGGGTTACTTAAACACAAGCACTGCAATACCATGACAGTTGAGATAATTACTAAGTGACTAATACACGGGCAGAGCATACAGCATGGAGATGCTGGACAAAGCGATGACTCACGTCCTGAGCAGGACAGAGCGGGACAGCACGAGATTCCATCACGTTACTCAGAAGAGCATGCAATTTCAAACTTATGAGTTGCTTATTTCTGGAATTTTCCATTTACTGTTTTTAGACCATGATTGACTACAGGTAGCAGAAACTGCGGACAGGGGACTACTGTGTTCTGAGTAGTGGTGCACAGTCCTCTCTGCCTGGAGTTACTAGCATGCCCTGCGCATCGGATGCTTTGCCAGTCTCTTCTGACAGACGCATATTGAAACAAATGGAAAGGTCCTGTTAGTACAGGAATAACTTTTGATTTTCTTTAATTTACATATTTAAAAATTCATTTATAAGCATTTGACATTTTAAACTATTTACAGGAACGTGGTCCAAGCCACCATGTCTAGCCCTTGCTTTTCGTTTGAATTGTTTTACTTTCTCCTTGGCTACATGGCCCTGACTTCTGACTTTTCATCAGACAGAGTTTGTTTTACATAGAGTTAATACTTTGTTTGCATTCATACAAATGTTGAGAAAGATGCAAAACTTTCTTGTGATTGGTGATATACTTTTATTACAGGCTCAACAAAACAGTCCCTCTTCTACAGGATCTGGTAACACAGAGCATTCCTGCAGCTCCCAGAAACAGATCTCCATCCAGCACAGACAGACCCAGGTAGGTCGATGATCGAGAAATAGATGAGGAAAGATCTACTTAGGAATAAATGCCAACCACATAGAAAATCTCTGAGTCCTCTCTTTGTCTTCCCTTTATGTCTCTAACTTTACCTCATTATAGGTATTATTATATTCAGAATGTGTATTGTGAGTACTTAAGGTCTTTTGGAAGCTGCTGTAACTTCTTGAGGTGTTTCTTTTCCTTTCTGGTATGTTGTAGTGGAAATGCTTGTACTGCAGCATGGTGTTGTGGAAAGAGCACTCGTTTGGAGACCGCTAGGCCTGGGTTCAAATTCAGGCTCTGCAACTTACACTTTATCTTTTCAGGCCCCGGTTTTCTTGAGTACAAAATCATCTGTAAAATGTGGTTGATTCTAATTATCTCAGGCAATGTATAAAAAATGCTTATTAGGACAGTGCTCACAGTAGGCTTCGATGAATGTTAATTCACGGCTTCATGAAAGGAGTTCATTTATTCCTTGTACCTGCTCATTTGGCAAGACCTAGCTCAACTTCTTTAACATGTGGCACACCAACAGACTTTTGTTCTTAAACAGTCTTCAGAAACTCTTTTAAATTTAGGGAATGTTGTGAACATTCAAAGATAACACCTGAAAAGGATAGTGGATATATAGCCTTGGTTTTGTGATGTTGCTCTCTAGGCAAATAGTACACTGGGTTTTCTGCAAGTCTCTTGGCACTTGTGCTGCCTTCAAGACAGAGTGCTTGACAATCTAGGAGGATTTCTTAAATCTCAAGCGCTATACAACCCTCGGGAGCAGATTTTAGTTTTATTTGAATTACCAGCCTTTGGGCGGTTGAACAGACTCGGATGAGCCTTTGGATAACTTCTTCCCTTCCCTTCTGATTGCTCTGTTTCCACTAGGTGGCGTATTTGTTCTTTAGAAATTTGGGTCATGTCGCCTGAAGTCCTTTTCTATTCAGTTTGTTTCATTTCTAGAGTAGTATATTTCTGTATTGTTCAATGCACAGTAGCTTAAGAATTCATATAGTATTGATTCCAGTGTTAACATGTTTTTGAAGTGCAGTACAGCAGAATATATGGCTTACAGAATGGGGTGAGGAAAGCCGATTTAATTTCTTGAGCCATTTGATTCCAGGCTGTTTTGTGTTAACAAGTGCTTTTTCTTTCTTTTAGAAAAGTAATGAAAAAAATATGATGACATGTAGTATTTTGAGACTCATCCTAAATTTGTTTTCTCTTTGTCTCCATAGTCTGACCTCACGATAGAAAAAATATCTGCACTAGAAAACAGTAAGAATTCTGACTTAGAGAAGAAGGAGGGAAGAATAGATGATTTGTTAAGAGTAAGTATTAAAATGTGGTAAGAGGCTTTATAACAAGCACTGATTGACGATATGTGCGTATCATAGAGATAGTTACTATAGTCAAATAACAAAATTAAACAATAAACACTTTGATATTTTCCTTCAATCTGAAGGAATCTGAGCAGCAACGGGGATCAAACCTACATTCTAAGCACTGTCTTTAAATTGGAAATCTTATATTGTAGAATTTTAATATTTTAATATATACTAGAGATATAGATATGTGGAGTATTATATTTCATCTGGAACTGTGGGAATAAGTATAAAATGTTTTTCCATTCCAAAGGAGTTATTTTAATGTCCTTGAATTTTTAAAACTATTTCACAGCCCTGGTTTTNGGAGGGCAGTGTCACTGGCCCTCATATGTGGGATCCGAACCGGGGCCCTCTGGCGTCCCAAGCTAGTTCCCAACCATCGCGCCACTCGGCCGGCCCATCATTTTAAATTTTTTTTAAAAGTTTTAATTTGTAAAGTAAGGAGCAATAGCTGTATCAAATGGTGACAAATAGCTTTTTCGTCTTTGATTATCATTATAGTTTCATGGGTTTTCATGGATGTGTATTAGTAAATATAATCACTCTTTGGTGCTCAGTAGGTCACAGCTTTATTTATCCTTTCATCAGTTAATGGACATTTGGGTTTCCGCTTCTTGGTTATAAGGAGTAATACTGCTGTGAACATTCATGTACAAGTTTCTGTATAGGTGTATGTTTTCATTTCTTTTGGGTATATGCTGAAGGGTGGAATTGCTGGGTATTACGGTAACTATTTTTGAAGAACCTCCAAAGTGTTTCCCAAGTGAGGTGTACCATTCTACAAACCCAGCAGCAGTGTATGAGGATTCTGTACATCCTCATCATCACTTGTTTTGATCACGGCCATCCTAGTGGCTGTAAAGTGATATCTCATTGTGGCTTTGATTTGTGTTTCCTAAATACTAATGATTTGAGCATAGTTCTCATTTGCTTATGGCTATTTGAGTATCTTCTTTGGAGAAATGTCTATATAAATCCTTTGCCCATTTTTAAATTGGGTTATTTGTCTTTTTGTTGTTGAGTTGTAAGATTTCTCTCTATATTTTAGATGTTAGACAGTACGAACTATATGATTTACAGGTATTTTCTCCTATGGGTTCTTGTTTTACTTTCTTGGTGATGGTCTTCAAACCAAAATTAAAAAAGTTTTTAATTTTGAAAAAGTCCAATTTATCTATCTTTTCCTTTTATTGTTTATGCTTTTAGTATTGTAGCTAAGAAGGCTTTACCTACATAAGGTCATGATAATGTACTCCTATATTTTCTTCTAAGTGTTCTTTTAGTGCTTATATTTATTTAGGTCTGTGATGCATTTTGTGTTAGTTTATGTGTACGGTGTGAGGAAGGGGCTCTAACTTTATTCTTTGGCATGTGGGTATCCAGTGTCCTACGACCATTTGTTTGAAAAGACTGTTCTTTCTCCATTGAATTGTCTGGGCACCCTTGTCAAAAAGCAGTTGCCTGTACATGTAAGGGGTTCACTTCTGGACTCTTCATTTCTATTCCATTGATATATATGCCTGTCCTTATGCCGGTACCACACTGTCTTCATTATTATAGGCTTGTAGTAATAAGTTTTGAAACCAGAAAGCATGATTCTTCCAACCTTGTTCTTTTTCCAGGATTGTTTTGGCTGTGGGATCCCTTGCATTTCTATATGAATTTTAAGATCACCTTTTTAATTTCTGCAAACAGACCAGCTGGGATTTATAGCAAATGTGCTGAATCTATAGATCAGTTTGGAGAGTATTGCCCTCTTAAAAATATTGTCTTCCAATCCGTGAACATGAGATAGCTTTCCATTTATTTAGGCCTGTTTAATAGCTTTCAGTAATGTGTACAGTTTTCAGTGTACGTATCTTGCCCTTCTTTTGTTAAAATTATTTCTAAATATTCTTTTTGAATCTATTGCAAATAGAATAGTTTTTTTAAGTTTTATTTTCAGATTGCTTATTGCTAGTATATACAATTGATTTTTCTATATTGATCTTCTACCCTGCAATCTTGTTAAACTTACGTTTTAGTTCTAATAGTTTTTTGGCAGGACTTTCTATATATAAAATCATGTCATCTGGGAATAGAGATAGTTTTACTTCTTCTTTTCCATTCTGGATGCCATTTATTTTCTTGCATAATTGCCTTGGCTAGAGCCTCTAGTACCATGTTGAATAGAAGTGGTTCAAGTGGACATCCTTGTCTTGTTTCTTTTTTTTTTTTATAATATATTTAGTTAATTTATTCATACTAGAACCCTAAGTCAGTTGCCCAGTGACCCCTGACGTTTGTTTTTTTTGTTTTTTAAGTTGGGAATTGGGGGATGGGAACAGCACTGGGGAATTGGGGGAAGGGGAACAGACAAGTTGCTGTCCTTTTGTTCTTAAGTCTAGTTGTGGAGAACGTTGCTTCACTGGCCCAAGTTGACACCATCATTGTGCTCTTCCCAGGTGAGGCAGATCAGTCGCCGGCT